GAGCCCCATCTGACTCCCCTCTCCCCTCCCCCTTCCCTGTCTTCGCCTCGCGGACTCCAGGCTCCCCATCAGCCCGGGCAGCCGGGATTTAAATTCACGGTGGCTGAGTCTTGTGACAGGATCAAAGACGAATTCCAGTTTCTGCAAGCTCAATATCACAGGTAAGTCCTGTGGGGGCTGCCCAGGGGCTGGCGGGGAGGGGGCATTCCTGCTGCGGCTCCTGCTCCCTCCACCCCGCGGGGGCAGTGGGGACTCAGACCTCAGGGCTGCGGGCGGCCGGGGCCTCTGCCTTTTGTTTCCCCTTTCCAAGTGCGTTGCCTTAACCCTTCGCTGCCCCCAGCTACCGGGCCTCCCGCACCGCCCTCGGGGTGCCCGTGGGGTTCCCAGGGTGAGGGTAGGATTCTCGGCCGGCTTGCTCTGGCTTCTGGAGGTCGAGAGGCAGCGTCAGGGACCTGCCTCCCCGTGGCCCGTAGCAGTCGCCTCACTCGGCCGCTGGAAGTTTTAGTTGTTTCACTCCCCCTCCGCCCGAGGCTGCGGAGTAATGGGGTAACCTGGGGGGCGTCAGGGAAGTGGAAACGTGGCTCTCAGAGGCCCTCCCATGGGGCCTCGGGGAGGCTGTGCAGGCCCCAAGCCTGAGCTGGCTGCTCCTGTCCTTCCAGCCTCAAAGTGGAGTATGACAAGCTGGCGAACGAAAAGACGGAGATGCAACGCCATTATGTGATGGTGAGAGGCTGCGAGGGCTGGGCGGGCGGCTGGGAGGGCGGACAGGCCCACAGACATAGTGGAGCCCATTCCCCCCAGGGCCCGCTGCAGGGCAGCCCTGGGAGCGGGTGAGTGTGCCTTCTGAGCTTTCCCAACCTCCTTCAGCCGGCCACTTGGAGAGGAGAGTGGGTGAGAGGACAGGCAGAAAGAGAACCGCAAACCCTAGGCCCAGCACTTCTGCGCTACCTTTGTGCCCTTCATGTTTTGAAGGTTTCCTAGAGTGCTGGTTGCCCTATCTTGGTGAGTAGGACAGGACCCCACATCAAGGGTTGGATAAAAATCTCCCTTAGAGCCTTCTTGGAAGTGTTTGGAAACTTTACTGCCCAGGGATATAGCCACAGTGGGTCATAAGCCCTCCCTCCTACCCCTTTCCTTCCCCAGACATTTCTGAGAGTAGAGGAAGAACCTCCACTGCCCTCTCAGTTGGGATTTCCCAACTGAGGATCTTATCAGCGCTGGGGCAGTAGATGGCCATCCTCTCCTTTTCCCAGTGTCTGTTCCAGCGAGTTTACATCATCCTTCTGTGAGGGCATGGAAGGCACTTAAGCACCTCCCTACACTGCTTTCCACATAAGAGGCCTTCGACACATTGCTAAATAACTCTCAGAGGACAAGAGGGTCCCAGTGTACACACAATTCCCTGTTGAACCCGAACCTTGTATAAACAGGATATATGGCATGCGGTGCTTGTGGAAGGGAGGGCCCAGCTTCTCTGAATACTGTATATATAATGTTCTGTTGAGAACAGCACTTGCTGATGTTCAGCCCTTAAACCACTTTATTATTGGCTTTGGGGTTTGATTTAAACTTCTTTAGCAAAAATGTGTCAGGAAAGTATGATTTGACCAAAACCTTCCCAAAAGCTGATTTAGGGAAATGGAGAGATTTCTGTTTGTTAATGGTAGTTCTTTTCACTTTTAGTACTATGAGATGTCCTATGGCTTGAACATTGAAATGCACAAGCAGGTAAGTGCTTTTCTCTTTTATATGTGTGTGTGTATATGTACATGTGCATGTGTATATGTGTGTGTATGTACATATGCACATATGTATATATGTCAAAATTTTAATAACTTATATAATACATGGTTTCTTACGGCCCCTCTGTTTGAAAATGAGCCTAGTTTTTCTCTTCCTTCTACTTCTCCTTGAAGAATGAATGGATCCGGTCCTTGAAATGCAGGGTCTGAAGCTTTGCTAATTTCTTGGATGTTGAACTTTCAATCTTGTGAAATTTGTCCTGGTCTTGGATCTTGGTGGAGGATAAAGGAGCAAAGGGAAAGTTCTACCTTCAGGATCCGTTTTAGAACTCCTGAAACCCAGAGGTGGCTGGCTGCTTTTATCTGTTTTAATGTAAAATTCTCAAGAGGAAATACAGGAGGGGTGTGTGTATGTGTGTGCAAAAATGTGATGTTCTGCCTTGATAAGATTTAACTTCAAAAGTCTTAAAAGCCAAGCTGAGCTGTCAAAACTTAAAGGGAACAAGTCACTAACTGCTTAAAAATATAACTGGAATGAAATAAAACCCTAATGCTCTTTATGAGGGAGCTTTCTCTTCTCTTTTTTAATTTGAAAGCAGCCTCGTTCCCATTTTACAGAGAAGGAAGGTGAGCAGGAGAGGTGAAGTAACTTGCCCAGGGGCAGCCTGGCCAGGACTATTGAGATGGCTTGGAGTTGAGCTCACCTTTGAAATCCTGAAGTCAAACCAGTTTAGCTAGTGTGGTGCTGCTTGATGGATATGTAAACTACCTCATATTGTCACTCTTCTAATAACAGTATACCTCAAACTAAGCAAATACAAACACCCTTTATCTAGGTGCATATCAGTAAGTAGTCCCTGGTGCTAGGCTGGGCTGTGGGAGAGGCCTGTTTGTGTATTTGTGTTCTGAGGAGAGGTTGCCTATAATTTGGCTTGGCCAGCGATTAGTGTTGGCAAGCACGTATAAATGGCACAGGCCTGTTGTTCTTTTTAACAATTGGTGTTCTTGAAATCTCAGAAGGCTGTTGACTCATGCTAGCCTTTGGTGACCGTGACTTGAATGGATTTTCTGCTGTAAATTAACAGTCGTTTACAAGGTTTCAGTTTTGCTCTTTCAGCGAGCAGGACCCAGGGCAGGTGAGAAGGGCAGGTGACTCCTGGAATGCTCTGAGATTCCTGCCTGCTCCAGTGGCTTGTATAGAGCCTTGTGAATCTGTAGTTTCCTTCCCCCTTCTGGAGGGAGCCCCCAGTGTTGGGTGAAGGGCAGCCAGAAAGGGTCCTGAGTTTACTGAGCAATGTGGGAAGCCAGCTTGTGGCTTCCTGAGGGATTAGCTTTTTAGGAAGGCACATGAAGGCTGCCAGGTTTTTACTTCTTGGCCCACAGAAATAATAAACAGATACCACCTTGTATGTAAAAATGTTTTTCCTAGGAGAGTGATTCTTCCCAACTTGAGGTGGAACTGACTGGTTCTGACTTGTGTGATAAGATTGCATGAAGTGGAACTGGGGTCCCAGGTGTTCATGGACCTTGGGGTGTTATGCAAGGTGCCACCTCCTGCCTTTCTCTACCTCCTCTTTTTCCCCCCCTCAGTGCTTAGTATCTTGGGTGTGTTTAAAGAGGGTAATTGCACCCAGGTTTAAAATTTATAGCAGCAGTTATTCTAAGAGCTTCATAATTAAGGTGTAATATGTTGTTGCATGTTGAGGTCTGAATGGGTGGTGTTCCTCCCCATGTGTGTGAGTGGATGGTTCTTTGGCACAGAAAATCCACCTTGGCTGACAGAGCAAAGCTGTTCCCAGAGTCCTGAGGACACTGAACTCAGGAAGAGTTAACCACCTTAACGCATTTAGTGGTGGGGTTTGTATAAAGAGCAGCTGTGTGCATCTGGGGCTTCTGGCCATTCCCCAGATAGGGTTCTTAGGGGGAGAATGCCTGAGATTTGGCTACATTGCCTCATTTAATCCTGTCAGCTGCCAGAGGCAGATAGATTCTCTGTCCCCTTTTTATAGGTGAGGAAATGGAGGCTTCAGGGGTGCCAAGAAGACAGAGCTGGGACTCAAATACAAAAAAATCTGGGCCTGTGAATTCCCAACCTCGGTGCTTCACCCTCCTTGTTTCACCTTTGCCTTCCAGCCTCAGTTCCCATTTGCTTCCCAGCATGATTGTTTGCTCTGAATGCTGTACCTTTGCAGGTTTATGGCAGTCTCTGAGTTGGCTGAAATCACCATGTGGCTGTGTAGGAACAAAGAGACAAGGAGGTGAAGAAACCTCTGCAGAGAAGTGTAACCCTGACCTAATGGGGCTGGCCACTCCCTGGGCTTGCGAGCTTTCTGCAGAAGAAAACGCAGCCACTAATTGTAGTGTGGGTCTTGGGTGCATTCGGTAGATGGTGGTTAGGCCTGAGCAAACAAGTTTATCAGCTGACCTGTTTAGCGGTTGACTGGTGTTTTATCTGCACACACAATCAAGTGACTGGAGAGCTTGAATTATTCATGCAGTGTCCTGCCCTCTAGACCTGACTGTTCGTGTGATTACATCTGCCTGGAACAAACAGGCTGGATTCTTCATCTTTAAGCTCACGGCTGGGGGTGGGGACTGTCTGCACTTTTTTATATAATAGATGATCTGAGCTAGCACCTTGGGAAGTGTGGCAGTCCTCAGCCTGCTCTCACATACATCCTCTTACCAGCACCACCATGGGAACCACAGGTTCTGCCAAATGGGCCCTGTATTGACAGAGGGCAGCTGATGAGGTGCGACCAGCCCATTTTTATTTTACTGAGAGGTTAAACTCACTGTGGCTGGCTTCTCCCCTGGCTGTTTCTCTGTCTCCCTGTCTTTCTTTTTCCAAGCTGTCAAACCCCAGAGAAGTAATAAATGGTTTCTCCTCCCACTCTTCTGCCTCCGTTCCTAATTATGGTAAAGCGAAGATTACAGAATCACGGGCCTGGCCCGAAGAGGTCACTCACCTCCTCCAGGCCCTTGCTTGCAGACATAATGTCAGGGGTGATTCAGCGAGGCCAGGGAGGGGAGGATGACTGACCAGCTCATCAGTTTCCATCTTGCTCCTGCACAGGCTTTGCAGTGTCAGCCACAGATCACCAAGTCACTTAGAAACAAGGGCCTCAGATCAACTGTTGTGCCTTTGGGTTTGAGGCCCTGGCACTGTGAGACACTGGGTCAGGCCACTTTGTACCTCCATTGGTGAGCACTGAGGGTTTGAAAGAGGACTTGAGGTGTTTTGATTTGGGGGCAGCCTCATGCCAATGCTGTACAGTCACCTTTTTCTAGAAACTGAACAACTCTTCCTCTAAGTTTCCTTTTGCCATGCTGGAACTGGGAGAACCCTGTGGCATTTCATCCAAACCTTTCAAGTTACAAATGAGAAAACTGAGGCCCAGTAGGGGAGCTGATGCATCCCTAGTGGGCCAGTGCCTTGTTAGCAGTAGAGCTGTCACTGCAGCTTTTCCTCCCAACCCCAGGCCTCTTCAACAAGACTCGAGAAATGAAGAGTGCTCATGTACTAACTAATAGCACTCTGTGCCTTTAATTACTATTGCTTCTTTCTATGCTGTTATCTCAAGAGGCTAAGGCTACAAACCTGGTTACACCAAAGTCCAAAGTACCCCACTTTGGGTTGTATAACCATATAGGCTGAACCCTCTGCCCACAGTCCTCTTCTGAATTGCCAGCTATTTGCACAACTAATGATTTGAGGTCCCAATATTACACGGAATGTACAAGTAGTGAAGATCCCAGAGGTAAGATTCATGGGTGAGGTAAAGCAGTAAAACCTGTGAACTTTTTACTCAAGGATACGGAAAGCCATGGTGGTGGCCATGAACACAGAGCTGAAGGAGAGAGAGGAAATCTCCATTTGTCACCTCCTCTCTCTGGGTCCTATCACATAAGTAATAAGGGGCTTGGGCTAGAAAATATCTAGGTTCCAGGCTTGAAGTTCTGTGACGATTGTGAAGGTGTGGGTGGCCAGAGGGAGCCAGCAGGTGGCGAGATTACAAAGACCCTGCCCAGGAGTAGAGTCTGTCTTGGTAGGGAGAAGGTGGCACCACTCTCAAAGTTGAAGAGGACACAGGTCCTTATATGAGGGCAGTCTATTTGTGTAGAGCTAAGAAGAAATAACAGTATCATTTTTGGCCAGAGTGCTGGCATTTAAGAACCCCTCTGCAACTTGGTTTCCTGGTTTCCATCTGACCTTTCCTGCCTTGCCACTCTTCCCTGGAACAATCTCCTTTAGTCATGCAGCTCTTGTCACTGTCCTGGGTCCCTGCCTTACTCAGCTTTGGGCTCTGCTGATCTCAAAGCTCTCTTCACTTTGTCCTGTTCACCCAGGAGAAGACCGCCGCCCTTTCAAGACTGCTGGCCTTCTCTGGCTCCTATTCTTTGCTGCTGCTGATGTACAGAGTGGGGGTGTGGTGCTTCTCTGGGTCTTTTTCTTATCATACATTTGATCACTAAATGACCTGGGAGATGGACAAATGCTCCCTTGTCTTTACCCATCAAGAAAACTGTGCTTGGGAGGGAACCTGGCTCATAATTTAAGGCTCCTTCCAAGGACTCTCCAGAGCAGGAGGTTCCAGATTGCACAAGCTCTTTCTCTCTCTAGATTCCTTCCTCCTTACCTCCTATAGGGTATAGTGTGTGTCAGAGGCCCTTCATTTCCATTTTGTTAGAGTGAGTCAGTCAAGGAATGAATTCACTTTTTCTTCCTGCAAAGGAAAATGTTTTTCTGTCCCATTTGCTGTATAAAGTCTTGGGATACCAAGAACAAAAAAGGTGATCAAGGCCGATCTCAGTGGGGTCCCTGGGATCTGGCATTGGTGATGTCCTTTCTCACACTTCATTATCTCATTTTTGTAGTAGTGGAGGAAGGCCCTCTGCTGGGGTCTTTTACACTTATGTGCACTTTGCATATAGTAGGTTCTTAGTAAACACGTTTTTTTCCCTTTAGTCAGAGGGTAGAATTCT